CCCCAGCCCGCCTGTCCCCGTGCTTCTGCCAGCCTAATGGGTGATAAAATAACACAAGATGCCTGATATCAAAACCACACAGAGGAGGCAGGGTACCAGATGTCAGCAGAACATAACTACTTCAAAATACAAACACTGCACCTATGTCTTGAAGTATTACGTAAGCATTTATCACTAACAAGCATTATTAGTCACTTCGCCATGTAGTAATCAAATGATAATAGGAACAGAAGAAACGTAAACAGATGAGCAACACAGGCATTCTGCAATTGGAAATCCAAATTTTAGCATTAACATTTCTGGAACTTTACACACATGCTAACTTTCTTCCCACTGACTGAAATGGAAACTGAATGGTGCTCAGCATTAAGCAAATGCTTATGAGCTTCCCTACAGAAGGATACTTCTTGGAACCCAGAGCCAGGTACTCAGGATAAACTATTCTTCGCTTTTGCCACCTCATCAACAAAATAAAAGATATTGTCTTGAGATACTCTGATCCATTGTCCCACATGACAAGGAAATCTCATCAAAGAAATCAAAAGACTGAACACACAGGAAACAAGGGTAACTCTCATCTGGATTCTGATGTGAATGCATGTTTCAAAGCAAAAACTATTTCAGCTGTCAGCCTTCTCGGGACAGATGTATTTACTCAGCTGCAAACAGAACTGTGTCACTGAACATCAAAAAATGGTGGGAGTTTACATTACAACACATGAGGAATGATTTACCTCCTGAACAACAAGCTACTGCTGCAAGTACTGTGAAGGAATATAAAATGAATACAACTTTCTTTCCTGTTAGGAAAACAACATAGGAGGGCCTTCCCGAGTACATTTCACAAGTGCAGGAACACAGCAAACCATCTGCCTTTCCAGGAGAGCAATGATAATGTTAAAGGAAAGATGCTCCGCTCCCAATTAAGCTGGAAGCAGTCTATTTTGGCTGCTCCTCCAGCACATCAAGCAAGCATTTCAAACATGCTAACAAGTTAACATTGCTTTTATTAATTTTTTTTTTCTCGCATTTATGTTGCATTCAGGCCCCCAGACCTCAGGCACCCCAGCAACTGCCTACGTATTCCTCAGAGTACAAGAGAATCAACATAAAGCTAAGTTGTATTTGAACACTGAATTAGGGCCTTCAATGTGTTTTCATGAACAAGCAGCCTAAGAAGGGCTTGTTTATTACAGGAGCTGGCTACTGCTCTGGCTAAGCAATTGGAAGATGGTAACAAAATGTAAACTAGGAGAGGATTATTTTTCTTGTTTGCAAACAGATTACATCAGGCAAAGCCCCACCAACAATGAAGGATTTAAAGAATCAGAGCCTACTTGTTAACCTTAGCTATACTGCATGTAAAGAAATTGCTTATTTTGCCCTTCTTACCATCACCGCTGCACAAGTGAGGTGAGCAACAGAGCAGCACCCATTTACACACAGACACTGCTGGTTTCGGAGCCTGTTTGGTGGCTCCGAACGGTGACTGTAGGGCTGACCTCACACACATGTGCTGCCGCGCTGGGCCAGAGGCAGCTTTCAGGGAGCACACAGGCTTCTATGGCAAACCTGGCCTGCAGCAGGGCAAAGCACATTGTGCTGGTTACCAGCCAAGGGAAATGGCTTTCTTTTGGAGAGCAAGAGGCAGCCATAGCTTGCAGACACTCTGCCCTCTAGTACTATCTGTTTCACTCGGCCAGCCATCCCTGCATGCTGTAGTTTTTACCTCAGAAGTTTAAAGTAAAATGATAAAACCCAGAGTGTACCGCTTTCTACTACAGAGAACACGGGCTGAAACTCCCTGGCCACACCAGCAGCGGCCCGCTCAGCCACGGCTCGGCACCCTCCAGCTTCTCTCGGCTCTTCCCGTAGCAGCCGGGCAGGAACAGCGGCGGAATGGCACGTCATGGGCCCGGCGCCATCAGAGCAGCTCCGCTAAAGGAAGGAAGCTCACGGGAAGCCCGCCCGGGGCAGTCGCTTTGCCTCAGGCATGGCGGCGTTAAGGGAGCACTGTGGGAGACCCCGCCAGCGCCTGCGGTACCTGCCCCGGTGCCACCGGTGGGGCACCGGCGGGCCTGTGGCGCCCCCTAGCGGCAGCTCGAGGATGAACGGGCGGGGCGGGACAGAAAGGTGGCGCGTGCGCGTTGTGACGACAGGCGCACGGCCGCGGGATGGAGGGGGAGCGCGCGGGGCGGACGGTGGGGCTGGCCCGCGACGTGCTGGAGCGGGCGCGACGGCGGCGGCGGGCGGCGGGACGGGAGCCGCGCCCGGCCTCGGACCCGGACCCGGTCAGTGCTGCGGGCGGCGGGGCGGGAGCAGCCGTGGCGGCAGAAATGCGGGAACACAAACAAGAAACGCAGAGCAGCTGCGGCCTGAGGTGGTGGCGGGATGGTGCATACTTGTACATATATATGTATATACACGTATATGTAGGTGTGCGTGGGACTGAGCCACCCGTCTGCTTTAACGAGCTGAAGGCGTTCGGAAATTCGCAGAACGGCTTCACGCTGGGTTATTTACCCCCCGCTTTATTTAGTCAGAGCCAGCGGCGCTCACCGGGCTTTGCGAGACACTGCTCCATCCCGTCACTTCTTGGGTGCGGCAAGTGCCTCGGCGCTGCCTGGTGCACACTGCGGTAAAGCCAAGCACCACAGCGGTGGCCACACAGGGCTCTTTCACTCCCCAAAGGGAGAGTCTCCCCTCCAGGACTAGCGAGTGTTTTGCTGTTTAGTCATAGAATCATAAAATCATAGAATAGTTAGGGTTGGAAAGGACCTTAAGATCACCTAGTTCCAACCACCCTGCCATGGGCAGGGACACCTCACACTAAACCATGTCACCCAAGGCTCTGTCCAGCCTGGCCTTGAACACCACCAGGGACGGAGCATTCACAGCTTCCCTGGGCAACCCATTCCAGTGCCTCACCACCTTAACAGTAAAGAACTTCTTCCTTATATCCAATCTAAACTTCCCCTGTGTAAGTTTTAACTCATTACCCCTTGTCCTATCACTACAGTCCCTAATGAAAGTCCCTTCCCAGCACCCCAGTCCCTTCAGATACTGGAAGGCTGCTGTGAGGTCTCCACACAGCCTTCTCTTCTCCAGGCTGAACAGCCCCAACTTTCTCAGCCTGTCTTCATATGGGAGGTGCTCCGGTCCCCTGATCATCCTCATGGCCCTCCTCTGGACTTGTTCCAACAGTTCCATGTCCTTTTTATGTGGAGGACACCAGAACTGCACACAATACTCCAAGTGAGGTCTCACGAGAGCAGAGTAGAGGGGCAGGATCACCTCCTTTGACCTGCTGGTCATGCTCCTTTTGATGCAGCCCAGGATACGGTTGGCTTTCTGGGCTGCAAAGTGCACACTGAAGCCGGCTCATGTTCATTTTCTCATCAACCAACACCCCCAAGTCCTTCTCTGCAGGGCTGCTCTGAATCTCTTCTCTGCCCAACCTGTAGCTGTGCCTGGGATTGCTCCGACCCAGGTGTGGGACCTTGCACTTGTCATGGTTAAACTTCATGAGGTTGGCATCAGCCCACCTCACAAGCCTGTCAAGGTCCCTCTGGATGGCATTCCTTCCCTCCAGCATATCAACCGAACCACACAGCTTGGTGTCATCGGCAAACTTGCTGAGGGCACGCTCAATCCCACTGTCCATGTCAGCAACAAAGATGTTGAACAAGACCAGTCCCAACACCGATCCCTGAGGGACACCACTCATTACTGGTCTCCAGCTGGACATTGAGCCATTGACCACAACTGTTTGTGTGCAGCCATCCAGCCCGTTCCTTATCCACTGAGTGGTCCATCCATCAAATTGATGTCTCTCCAATTTAGAGACAAGGATGTTGTGTGGGACAGTGTTGAACGCTTTCCACAAGTCCAGGTAGATGACATCAACTGCACTACCCCTGTCTATCAGTTCTGTAGCCCCATCATAGAAGGCCACCAAGTTGGTCAGGCAGGATTTCCCCTTAGTGAAGCCATGCTGGCTGTCACCAAGCACCTTGTTTTTCATATGCCTTCCAGGAGAATCTGCTCCAAGATTTTGCCAGGCACAGAGGTGAGACTGAGTGGTCTGTAGTTCCCTGGCTCATCCATTTTCCCCTTCTTGAAAATGGGGGTTATATTTCCCTTTTTCAAGTCGTCGGGAACTTCACCTGACTGCCATGATCTTTCAAATATGATGGACAGTGTCTTAGCAACTTCATTCACCAGCTCCTTCAGGATCTGCGGATGGATTTCATCAGGTCCCATGGACTTGTGCATGTTCAGGTTCTTAAGATGGTCTCGAGCCAGATCCTCTCCTACAGTGGGCGCAAGGTCTTCATTCTCACAGTCCCTGCGTCTGCCTTCCAAGACTTGGGTGGTGTGGTCAAAGCATTTGCCAGTGAAGACCGAGGCAAAGAAGTCATTCAGAACCTCAGCCTTCTCCAAATCCAGGGTAGCCAGTTCCCTGATAGTTTCCAGAGAGGGCCCACACTGTCCCTAGTCTCTTTTATTTGCAATGTACTTACAGAATCCTTTCCTGTTATCTTTAACATCCCTAGCCAAGTTTAATTCTAACTGGGCCTTAGCTTTCCTAACCTTGTCGCTAGCTTCCGGGACAACATCCCTGTAGTCTTCCCAGGCTGCCTGTCCTTGATTCCACCTTTTATAAGCCTCTTTTTTCCCTTGAAGTTTCCTTAGCAGCTCCTTATCCATCCAAGGAGGTCTCCTGGCCCTCCTGCTGCACTTCCTTCTAGTTGGGATGCAACACTCCTGAGCTTGTAAGCAGGCGATCCTTGAATATCAACCGACAGTCTTGGCCCCCCCTGCCCTCTAGGGCTACATCCCATGGAACCTTACTAAGCAGGTTCCTGAAGAGGCCAAAGTCTGCTCTTTTGAAGTCCAGGGCAGTGAGCTTGCTGCACGCTCTTCTCACTGTCCTGAGGATCTCAAACTCATGATCACTGCAACCAAGGCTGCCCTGGAGTGTCACATTTCCAACAAGCCCTTCCCTGTTGGTGAGCACGAGGTCAAGCACGGCACCTCTCCTTGTTGGCTCCTCTGTTACTTGCAGGAGGAAGTTGTCTTCCACACAGTCAAGGAACCTCCTGGACACCTGACACTGTCTAACTCTAACCAATGAACATCATGTTATGAGTTACTAAAGATTACTTTAATTGCAGGAAGAAGATTCAGAACGTCTCAATGCAGCTTTCGCTTCAATTGTGAACTTGATGAATCAAGCCTCAAAGGAATGTGAGGTGAGATTTTACCCTGAAACCCATGCAAAGGGGAATGCTTATGCTGTGCCAGGCAGAGGCCTGTTTGTATTACTCCTGCTAAAACTGCAAAAATTAGATTTCAGTTTTGCTCACTGCGTGGCAAGAGCTTAGCCAGTGAGCCTGTGACGATGATGAAATGTGGGGCATTTGCCATCATGGGGTAGGCGACATGGTAGGTTTCAGCAGGGTTATACTGACCAACTGGTACCATCTTAGATAATAAAACACCACAGTTGCCATTTTCCATAGTACCATCAGGCTGGTCAGTTGTAGCAGAGGGTTTCTCCACTTCCCTGGTGGCAAGGCAATATGGTTAAAGAGACATCACAGGTTACATTGTGCCAGCCATTGCAGGGCTGTGTCACAGTGTACAGGATTGTTTCCAGTGCTGCCAGGCACCTGTGCTGTGGAGTGGCATAACCACAGGGTAAGCCTTTGCTTTCACTACACCAGTGCAAACTGTTCATGCTGGCTAATAGAGTCAGTGCATTTTGGGTGGCAGAAGTAAGCCAGAGTTTGAATCCTGAGCAAAGACATTGCTTCATGTCACACATTTGCTCTAAACTTAACTTTAACCTTCCCCATGTTGTTTAAGCAAACTCAGGCTGGGATGTTGCTGTTGGATAATGAGAGCAGCGCTGTATCTTTGTAGTAAGTAGAAACTTATCACAGTAGAAACACGAGAGGTATAGCATGCAGATGCACAGCTCCACTGCTTTCATGTTGGTTCTGCCTGCCGGATGTCATAACTCTTCTGAGCAGACGGACTGGGAGCCTATCTCTGCCAGCTCGTTGTTATGAGCGCAGCCCTGCAGCCCAGCTACTGCATTAAAGCCTCTGAAGACTCTATCATCATTGTTTATGCCCTTCGGGATCCGTTATCGTAATGCAGCAGAGATCTCATTGTCTGCAGAGTTAATAACAGAGGCTAAGCCTTCAATTAAATTAAACACAGAGACGATTAGCTCTTAAGCAACTCCTTTATAATTTTGAAGCAGTACATACACAGTAACCAGTTAATCCTAAAACAATTGGGGCAGAATAGTTTCACACAAAATTAAACAAAAATAGAGGTGTATAGAGACTTATCCTATGCCCTTTTAGAAGTACGAGAGCTGAACAAGCAGTGGATGACTTGTATCTAGGCATCAGACAAGACAATATTGCTTCAGTCATCTTCCGTAAAGAAAAGCTATAAAGGGGGGAGGAGAAGGGAATTCTCAGATCCACAAGTTCATGAGTAAAGTTTACAAAGTGCAAATAAAAATCCACAGCTGAATATAACCATTTAAGTACTTAAGTGCAAACAATTAAATTTGTGATTTGAGTTGCTTAAGAGTTACTAAGGGACCAAAGTTTACCTACGCTTCTTACCAAATGTTTGAATTCATTTCTTTGCTCTGTGACATCATGTAAAAGAACCCAGCTCACTTCCTGTGATATAGAAATGCTCTGTGAAGCATTATGCAATAGGTCAGAGTATTGATATGTTTTGGGACACAGCTCCACAGTAAACCACAATACAAGCAACCACATCTGTTGATGTATGCGTAACATCAAGGAGTGGATTTGGAAATAACAATTGCTATTTGCCTTATTTTTGTTAAATTTAGTATTGACAATCAGAGACAATGACAATATAAGTGAAATAAAATAGATATTTTGGAACTTTTTGGTCCCTGTGATCAAAAAAGTAACCCTGTGAGGAGATTTTTGGTGACAACAGATGGCAGCAGAGCTGTACTTAGATATTTCCTGTGCCTCGTTCCAGTGAGGCACTGGAATGGGTTGCCCAGGGAGGTTGTGAATGCTCTGTCCCTGGCTCTCTTCAAGGCCAGGCTGGACAAAGCCTTGGGTGAGATCATTTAGTGTGAGTGTCCCTGCCCATGGCAGGGGGGTTGGAACTATATGATCCTAAGGTCCTTTCCAACCGTAACTATTCTATGATTCTATGATTTAATTTGCAGTGGGTAATACTCAAGTACCTTTACTGTGGAGCCAGGAAAGGGCTGCTGGTGACTTAAATACAGCTCACAAAACCACTATGCTACTGGTATGGTATGCCTTGAAGACACTTCAGCTTTTTTTACCAATGCATTGTTTCAGTATCAGCTTGGTTTTCTTCTAGAGTACTGCTCTTGCATGTGCCCTGCGGAACCAGTCTTCAGCGACTAGGCACCTGTGCAAGGCACCTAGCTTCCATACACATAAGACCCATAAACTGTGACTTCTTCCACCAGAATTTTTCTTGAAGAGCCTGATCAGGCAGATGTTTCTGAACATTCCTTTTGTTTGTTTTATCCTGTTCTGAGGTTTCAGATAGTTCCCGTATATTGTGTTGGGAGACAGGCATCCAAAATCAGAGCTGACAGTTTTGTACCAGAAGGCAGATGTCCTGCAGACATCCAGGCATTATTTTCATCCTCACACAAGGACAAACCATCCAATTAATACAGAAAGTCAGTAGCTGTGCAGTTCCATTTTCATTTGTAAATCTGCAGTAGTTGTGAGCATGGCTTTGATGCTTATCTACTTATTTTCTGTTTCTGTTGTTGTCCAGAAGTATTATAGCTCTATGCCAACCTGTACATGCAAAAAGCATGAAATCAAACACATCTGTAGATACCATGCCAGGCAAGCAGGGAAAAGAGAGCTGGAGTCCTCTGAAGAAAAGGTAAGTAGGTGTTTTGGGTTTTGATTAAAGGTTATTCCTTCCCTTGCCATGGGACTATTGTTGTCCATCTAATACATTTGACATTTGTTTACACTACTGTATGTGGTTCCACATTAGGGGCATGTGAAAACTTGAACTGATCTGAAACTTCTGGTGAGGGAGGGGGGAGGCAGAATAACCTTTGGTGGCATCAGTCAGTGTCATATCAATCCTTTCGTGGAGAGGAAAATTTCATGGACATGAAGCATCCCCTCTCTTAGTGATTGAATTTGCCTTTTATGTTTTATCATTAGAAAACAGTACCTTTTTCTTTGCAGAGGGCTGAAGCCTCTGTACCACCCAGTCAAGCTCAAACTTGCCAGCAATGTGTAAGTTCATACAATACTTTGTTTTTAAATTGAGCTATAGCCCTTTTTTTTATTAGTTTGCATCAAGCTGGTTAAAATTTGTGATCAGGTGAGTGAACTTTGCGATGGCATAGAATATTAACCAGTGGTGGACTCACAATCCTATAGATGGGCAGTAAAATGGGCATACAGACACTCTCACAATTAATTACAAACCAGATTGTGGCATTCTGGCACATAACCAGTTAAGACTCTACTTGACACCTTGGACTGGTACAGAATGTCAAACACCATGATTAATCTTTAGGCTCTTGTGAATTGTATCGGCAGAAATAATCCAACAGTTCTCCAGTCTCACCTCATTTGTGCTCCTGACACATTCCCTGTGCTGAGGAAAGGCACGCAGCAGGGCACACAGCGATTGCTTAGCCAGTTACGGCTGGCCCTCGTACAGTCCCTCTGAAGACTCCTGTTCCTCAAGGAGAGGAAAACTTTATTTTTCAAAGCCTAACACCCCACCAAATCAATTTCAGGAACTTCTGAGCCACAAAAGATAAGAAACATGGACTCCGTACCACTGTACACATTAGTGGGAGCACCCTTGTAGGGATTATGTTCCAGGTTTATGTACAAAACCATTTAGGCTGGCAACTGTCAGTTTTGTGGGCAGAGATTACAGCATGTTGCTTATTCTACTGACTGAAACATTAGATAAAATACTTTGAGCATGGTACTTGCCAATTTCTGTATTGACAAAAAAATTTTACAGTTCTGTCCATGGTGCCTGTATATTCTGAAAAATCTTAGTATATTTACATAGCAGCTGAAATGTAATTTTTTTTACCCAAAATAAAAATGTATATTTTCATAAGAAATCTTAGATGACTAAACAGTAATGAAACTTATTTCCTCCCTGTCTCCAAAGGCCAGACAAGGTTCTGAAGACATCTACATTGAAGTTTCTCCTGGCTTCTATTCTGTCACAGCAACCTCAGAAGACATGGTGCAACAAACCCACATGGTGGATGTCCATGCAGGGCAAAGTATTGATTTAACTTTTGTTCTATGACATTTGTTGTTCCTTGGCAATCACAGGAATAAAATATGAGACTGTTTTAATGCATGTAATGAACTATGAATATATTTTTCTTGTTAGCACTTTAATAGTATCCTCGTCTTTGCAACTCCATTTTTATGACCTGTGTATTTGTTTTCTACTTAATGCAATCTTACGCAGCCCACTTTGTACACTGATTTGATAGATATTTGTACATTGTGTGCCTTAAATCTAATTATGTGACTTGTAATTCTAGGTTCTTATGTTTTAAACAATTAAAGATACAATCAGTGGAATAAAATACATTATTTAGTCTTTATGGTGACAGCTTCTTTAATATTATCCTCAGGCAGAATGTCTATGTCATATTTCTGACCACAGAAAAGATAATCCATGTGGTATGAATATGGATGTGCATCAACTTCTGTGGGCTGGTGCTGATTGTAGAGCAGCTGGCTCACAATGCATCTCTCCTATCTGTAATTTTATTATTATGATAAAGAAATAAAATGCAAATGAGATTCACTATCTAGGACCCCCCCAACTCAGAAAGGTGCTTGAGTATGCATTAGGTGTACAGTATAGGTAGCGCTGAGCCACTGCATGCTGCAGCTTATGGCCAAGTTCATACACTTTAAACATGAGGAGTCTCATACTAACAAGACTCCCTGGATGCTTAACTCTTCTGAAGGATCAGATTTCACAATCATAATTAGTGACACGATCTGTATATATCTGTAATCTTTTTGTAGCTGATGGTATTCAGGTTTCAATTAATTTTCATGGGAATATAAAATTCACCAACTTGTATGCTAGATCTCTAAGCATTTTGTTGTTTGTATCTACAGTAGCAGGTCCTTTACCCTCTGGCTACTTTCTTTTGTGCTTTAATATTGAAAAAAATATTTTCAGCTGTCAGCTTTTATTGTTTCTTCATTTCTTCTGGCTTTCTACAAGAAGAAATCGCTATGCTGAATTCCTCTGGCTGACTCCAGAGAACTGTAGACAAATTGGAGGTTTATTAGACCTTGCTGTGCATCTGTTCAGGGTCTCAGCTCTCACACTAGTTTACCTGATCTCTCTAGAATTGTAAAGTCAAGTCCAAATAATTAGGAATTTCATTCAGTACCTTGGAGTAAAGAATGAGGATGATGAAATTACAGTATTCCACACATACAGTGTGTGTAGATATAGACTTTCTCAGATATTAAAATTTTACAGTTATTCATAGTCTACAGACACAGTACCCGAATTAGAATCTGACTTGATTAATAAATGCTACACTGATCTAGTATAAGCAGTTTACGTGAGATTTCAGCTTCCGAGCTTCATCAGTTGTACTTTTATTGAGTTCTGGCTGATTGTGTCTCTGTTCTGTTGCAAATGAGCTCTTTACTGATTTTTCTGTCTGTTCTCTTCTGACATGGTTTGCATTGTCAAGTTTGTCATCTTGTATGTAGGTTGCTTTATGTTTATCATCCAACTCTATTTTCTTTCTTGCTGTTTTATATCTTTGTTTTTCTGATGCCTCAAAACCTTCTTCCTGGCGGACAGAAAACAGATCCTTTGGAAGTCTAGTCTAAAAAAGAAAAAGCATCGGTGTCTTTGTAACTGCTGCTGTAAGATAGGTACCTCTGCCTCATGCAGCTTTAATAATGCTATCATTTCTGTGCTAGTACAGACTACTGCTGAAACACAGAAGAGACCAAAGGATTTTCATAAGGTGCTAGGCTTTGATCAAAAACTTTGCTCCTTTAGAAATTAGGAGGATTTTTGGTGACTAGAGCAGGAGGATAGTAACCCCACAGAGAACATCTCTGGGAAGCCTGCTGTCTAGCTTCACTTCTTTCTGTGAGTTACTTCTGATACAGTCTGTATTATACGTTAAAACTGCTTCAGCCATCTCAAAGAGTAGCAATGTGTCTTCTGGGTTTAAAAACACCAAGGGCTATTTTACAGGAATAAAAGTGTGTCATACTCTGTATTACCACATTGAGCCCACTACTGTGATTCATGCAGCCTATCTGTGGCTAGAATAAAACCACTCCAGTTTCTTTCAGTTTTACCAAGAAGCAAAGCTTGTCACTTTCATGCACTGGAGCTCCACACTGGCCTAAAAATTCTTAGGAAATCAATTACAAAGGTGTGGAACTATGATGATTGAAATAGTAAAGTAGAACCATACAGTTAGTATGGCATAGGCATATATAGTATGGCATATAGTCCATAGGCAACTGCTTAAAATGAATGCATATAAGATACATTCCAGTACATTCTCTGCTCACTAACACAACACATTAATCTTTTAAAGAAAATCATGGAAGTTTAGCATGTTTTATTCTGCAGTAAGCTCACAGTAGCAAGCATGAAGCTACAGAGAAGCTAATATTTGATTTTTTTAATATATAATTTCTTAATGGTACTCCTGTTGCTCTTGTGCAGAAAGGTGTTTCTGTACATCCTACACTTCTCTTTTGTCTTCCCCTTCTTCCTGCAAGCTTTTTTCTTCCCCTTTTCTGTGCTTGCTTTCTTTGGCATTCATATTCTGGTTTGGGCTGTTTTTCCCCAATTTTCTAAAGCAGAAGGGGACCATGGCCAACAGCAACCAGGCCTAAAAATCTGGTGGTTGTCTTTGTTCCCAGCTGTTACATAGTTTGCTTTCTCTGCATCCCCTAGCTTCATGGTAGGGATCTGCTGTTTAAACTGCTTGCTTCTTGTGACGCAGTAAGAAAAGATATTCAATAAAGGCTGCTTATTAAAAAACAAAACAAACTGGTTTTATCTTTCAGAGACTGAGATTGTGACTATCAGAGTCTGACAGGCAGAGCCCAGTACCTTTCCACATTGAATCTTTTCTTTTGTTTTATTGCTGCTGACACTCATATTTGTCCATTCCCAAGGCCACTCATGTAGGCCCCTACTTACACAGGACTCCGTTGGGATGATATTGTCAATGGGCATTTGGCAGGTTTCTGAATTGAAATCTGCATTACTGAATGCTCACATAGTTACCAACATAATCTTTTGCATTTTACCAAGTAGGCTTCAGCCCTTCCTTAGGGTTTTGGGACCTTCCTTTTGTTTCTATTAGTGGAGAAGTGTCCTGCTTATCACAAAACTGGTAGATGGCCTTTAGCAGTTAAAAACCAACTTTCAGACCGTTAACAAGAATATTTCTTCCATTCAAACATGTGTTTACATAAATCCAGTATTAATACAGATTACCTTACCTCCATTGACAGCTTGAAGTCTTGGTCTCTTAAGATTTCTTTCATTGTGACTTGCCCTCTGGAAGACTGCTCTATGATTTCAAACATTGCACTATGATTAGTAGAGGCAACACTGAACATGTCCCCAGTAGAGATGTCTTTGGGTTCCAGCTTGCTCTTTGCACATGTGCTGCTGCAACTGACGAGTCCTGGGAAGGAATAAAATTGTATCTGAGAATGAAAACAGAACTGAAATAGGGAAACATTAATTTCAAAAGAGAGGGAAATGCACTTTAAGCTTAAAAGGTTATTCTGCATGTACTAGTAAAGGTTAATGAAGATGTCAGCATCATACAAAGTGTAGGGAAATGATGGGGAACAAACTCAGAGAGGGATATCTATGCTTCTGTCATGGTTTAAGCTCGGCTGTAAATCACGCAGTCGCAATCTCACTTCCCGGCTTTCCTTCCCCTGGCTCCCGGAGGGATGGGAAAGAGAATTGAAAGAATGTAACTCCCACAGGTTGAGATAAGAACAGTCCAGTAACTAAGGTATAACACAAATCACTACTGCTACTACCAATAATAATAATAATGATAAAGGAAATAACAAGTGAAGAGAATACAGCACCTCGCCACCCGCCGACCAATAATACCCAGCCCGACCCCGGCAGTGATCTAGCCCCTTGTTCTACATCCTGGGCATGACGTGCTGTGGTATGGAATACCTCTTTGGTCAGTTTGGGTCAGGTGTCCTGTCTCTGCTTCCTCCCAACTTCCCCTCCTCCCTGGCAGAGCATGAGGCTCAGAAAGTCCTTGGTCAGACTAAACATTAGAGCAGCAGCTAAAACCATGGGTGTTATCAGCACTGTTTCCCAGGCCGAAAGTCAAAAACACAGAGCTGCACCAGCTACTAAGAAGGAGAAAAATGACTGCTACTGCTGAACCCAGGACAGCTTCTAACTGAAATTCATGTTCTGGTAGTTTTCCATTGGATTATATGCTAAAAGGAGAGCTAGCATGCAAGATGAGGCAGCAGAAATATTGAGGAGGGGGAATTATTGTGTTAGAGACTGCTAAATTTACAGCATTTATACCAATAAGCTAAAGGCTAAGTAACTGCTCAGAAGACCAGAACACATTTTGGGTTTTTCTCCCCTCTGACTGCTGCTTGCCTGTGAGGGTGTCAAAAAGTACCTGAGTTACTGGGATGGGACTTGTGGTGGCTTCTTTTCCAGTATTTCCACTCAGGTCTTGCAGAATCCTTTAGCCTGAGCTTCTCAAGACAGCCGAAGCCTGTGTTAACAGCACTGTCCACCACAGTATTCTGAGTGGTGAATGGCTCCAGGTCCCACTCTGAATCAGAAGAGGCAGAAGATGGTGCCACAGCAGCTGCTGCTTCTGGTTTTGGGCTTTTTGGTTCTAGAAGGCATGGAGGGGGCTGACTGCTGGACTCTACCTCTTCTGTTTCACTTTGAAATACCAGATGCCTGGATGGAAGAGGCCACCAGGCACTGACATGAGGATGACAGCTGCAGATGCTTACATGTGCTGACAAACAGCTTATACAATCACAGTGAAAGTGGAAACACGGCCAGCAGGGTGAGCAGAGCAAGCAGTGCTTGGCAAGGCTATGTACAGCACAAATGGGAATCAGGGCTGTTTTAGGATTGTAGGAACAAATACAACAGTTAGTCTCTGGAATTTCTCTGGGCTTCACCCTGCTGGTGAAGGGCATATGGATCATCTCTACAATCCTTTCCCACAGGCTAGGAGGGATCCAGAGAGCCACACCTCGCGGGAGCTTGACTTTCTTGTCATTCCAGAAGTGGACCATAATTCCTTCATCTTCTGAGGCTGTTGAGGAAAAACGTAAGCAGCCATAAGCGGGCAACCTGCCTGGGTAGTGCCCATACAAAGATCAGGCTTTGCAGCTTTATGCACTTTCTACTCCTGTTAAGCAGTAGGATCAACTACCTCTCTGTAACACTTCACCATAAAGTCATGGTAGCAGGCAGCTACGACACTGTTGGTGCAACAGCAAGCCTGGCAGTATCTTTCCTTCCAATTTGCCATCAGATGAACAAGAAAAAGTTGACTGAGTAACTT